AATCCATATATATGGTACAACTTTACAGAACTATATATCTAAAAAGGACACTTAAAAACAGGTAAAATATGAATAAGGTGTATACTTGAGTTAATACTGCATCAATATCAACTTCCTGGCTTTGACAATCATTCAGGGAAGCTGAGTGAAAGGTACGCTAGGAACTCTGTACTATTTTTTGCAACTGCCTGTGAGTCTTAAGCTATTTCAAAATAAAAAGTTAGTGCAAATATCAAATCTAGGCAGTCTTGAACTTACGATGGTTCAACTTAAAACTTTTTGACTCTACAATGGTGCAAAAGTGATACACACTTTGTGTGCTCCTCTACTTAGCATAGTGTTAAGTCTGCACAAACCTATTGTAAGTTGAAAATATCTTTAAGTTAAAGGTGTGTTTTTGACTTAAAATATTTTCAATTTAGGATGGGTTTATCATGATGTAACCCCATCATAATTGGAGGAGCATCTGTATATAACTTTAACAAGAAAATATAGAAGGGAATAACAGGCTGTTCAAAATTATCCAATTAGGAGCTGGACGCAGTGGCTCACACCACTAATCCCAGCACTTTGGGAGGCTGAGGCAGGTGGATCACCTGAGATAAGGAGTTCAAGACCAGCCCAACCAACATGGTGAAACCCCATCTCTACTAAAAATACAAAATTAGCTAGGCATGGTGGCACATGCCTGTAATCCCAACTACTTGGGGGGCTGAGGCAGAAGAATTGCTTGAACATGGGAGGTAGAGGTTGCAGTGAGCTGAGATTGTGCCATTGCACTCCAGCCTGGGCAACAAGAGCAAAACTCCATCTCAAAAAAGAAAAATCCAATTAGTTAGATAGCAAAAAGATCCATGATTTTTTAAGTACTGCAAGTATAAAGAAAATGACTACAATATTAGCATTTCCTAAGTGTTATTATCAATCTTTCCATCCTCAAATATAAAATCTTATTAAAACGTCAGTTTTTCACAGATAAGCCAAACAGAAACAAACAGCAGCTTTGATAATTGCACAAAACCTAAGTCCACTTGGCCATAACCTCTCACCTTTTTTTGCTTGTTTTTGTTTTGTTTTGTAGAGATGGGGTCTCCTCTTATTGCCTAGGCTGGTCTTGAACTCCTGGCCTCAAGCAATCCTTCTGCCTGGGCCTCTCAAAGTGCTGGAATTGCAGGTGTGAGCCACCATTCCCAGCTTTCTCATCTTTAAGATGCGTACTACCCTAAGAAATAGTAAAGATATCGTTTAATAGATGCTATGTCAGCATCTGAAAGACAAAACTCACAATATAAGTTGATAAAGAATAAATTAAAGGAGCTATTTGATTTGTAAAAATACATGGGCTAGCACATACTTCTGAGAAATAACAATAGTACAAAGAATAAAAATCATGTTAGTTATTTTTACTACTCATTCCATGAGTATCTGTTAGCTACCTACTTGTTAATAGGTACTATGAGCGACACTGGGAATGCAAAATAAACGAACATGATTTGTGATTTCAGAGCACTCATATCAGCAATTGAAAGTAAAGATACACACAAGGATACTCCTATCCAGTAATCTCCCCTGCCCAGTTCACTTTACAGTAACTCTTTTTTCTTCCAGTGCTGTGAATACACACAAATGAGTTTGCCAAAGTTATACTGAAATAAGAATTAAAACTTGCTATTAAGTAGTTTTTTTCTTGACCATAGGTAGGTAATATGAGTTAATAATTCTCAAAGTAGACTGGAAGAAAAAGCAAGATAAGAGGTGACTGATTATGGTAATAAAATAATTAAATTCCATTAAGATCAATTACTGACATAGGGATCTTAGCAATTTTCTTTGTAATCATTCTCAATGGTCCTTTCTCTCACTGCCTTATGCCACAATATTTATTATCTAGAAAGGAAATTAACCCAATCCTCTCATCTCTTCCCGGCTTGATTCAGAGAGCTCATTTTCTCATCAGAGTGAATCCTGCATTCATTCCATTCTTTGATTGTGTCATATTCCCATTTCCTTTGATTTGCCCCAGCACAACACAATTTCAACACCCAATGTGAAGTCCACATGCTGCAAAGGATGACTGGCTTTTGCTGAGTGTCTGTAAACCAGGGCCAGCGTCTTTTCTATTTCTATCTACTCTATTAAACACTCTTGTTTAAAACAAAATCAGATGCTTAACATTCTGAAGCATCTTGTAAGCTTTGAACCTGAAAAATGGTTACACATATAATGCTTAGATATTATTGCTATGGATACTTCTAAAATTACGTATTAGCTTTAAGAGACAAATCTTATATCTACTCAGCAAATAGCTGTTATGATCCCGAATGTATATTATAACCCATTTAAAACAGATCAATCTAAAGTAGGTAAGTCCTTGGACTTCAAACTGTGCTACAAACTGACCAGCTGCCTATTAGTAAAGTAGGTTACTTATATCATCTGTCCTTCAGTTTCTTTGCTTTACTCAATTTTTATTACCATCAGTGCTGAAGTGGGGAGCAAATTAGAAGCTTCTTCTGGATGTGGGGATGAAAATTATAAAAAATAGCAACTAATTCAAGTTGATAATCTCTTTACACACACACAGCCCCCAAAAGGAAGCCATTTGAGGTAGTATGCAACCCTTACAATATTCACTTATTCAACAAATATATATTGACCATATAGCATGTGCTAGGCATTGTTCCAGGTATTGAAATCGAGCAGTGAATAAAACAAACACTCTTGCCCTTATAGAGTTTACATTCTATTAGGGGAACAATAATCAGAGACAGGAGAAATAATCCAGGAACATGAAGAATTAGTTACTCATTTGCAAAATAATGCAGGACTGATTATTTTATAGGAGGGAAGACTCAAAGTCATGTGACATAAGACACTGCCTTTTTCTCACATGAAATTAGGAAAAAAGTTCTCTTCTTAGGATAATGTGCTTACTTTCTTGAGAAACTCATGAGGGAATCAACAATAACACTCAATATTGGATAGGCAAAAATAGGAATTAGAGGAGCACCCACATCCATTCTCACTCATGCTGTCTAAGACCATCCTCCTCTTGATGAAGGAAGGAGAGCCTCCTCTAGCACCCACAAAAAGTGTGAGGCCCCCAGTTTCTAAGACCCAAGAAGGGACCAAAGGAGTGGTGAGAGGGGCATTTCTCTCTCTAGTAAAAGGACTCAAGATTCCAAAAGCAGCCCCAGGGCACCTGACTAAGGGCCATGAGGGGCTGTGTTGAAGCTAAAGGGCAAAAAGGAAAGAGAAGGCGGGGTCTGAAGCAAGCATCAGCAGGTGGGCATCCTCTCCCGGAAGGGGAAAGTCCATAAGGCCCTTCCCTGGAGTCCCACAAGGGAACAACTAAGCAGCAACTTTGAGATTCATGTTATCCCCAACAAAATCAAGTGTATGTTTGATCTAAGAAAAAACTAAGCAAACAGGAGAGTCTCAGGATAAGGATGGCAAATGTCCCTGAAGCATACAGCTGGGATTTCTACTGGGGACAACACACACTCGCACATACACATGCAGACTCATAGATGACATTTCCATAGATTATCAGCAGCAACACAGTGATGCCCTAACAGATGACAACAAAATAAAAACAAAAGCCTCTACATATGAGGTTGCCAAACTGAATTCTAGATTATCCCTTACACACACACACACACACACACACACACACACACAAAGTGAGCAAAAAATATTCTTCAGGACAGAGAAGGGAGTTTGTATGCAGAGAAAATAATGTATTCCATACAGTCCTTGGAATTTCCTTGGGGAAATGTACTGTAGCATTCCAGAGCATAATCATGTAAGTAAAGTTCCCAGCAGTTTCTACATGGTTCTATACCAAGTAAATGGGTCAAAACAGACTCTAAGCCCTGTGTGAGCAATTAACTCCACAAAAATACACACTAAACTTTACTGCAAATTTGAGCCATATAATCAAATTATATAAAAATGTGTATTTATGTTCTGTCTACTTATTGTTTACATATGGATCTGACATGTAAAACATTACATTACTGAAAATAACTCAGAAGACATAGCACACTTTCGATTACTATTTCATAGGGGCCTAAGGAACAGAGGGGAGCTCATGGGGTAAAGAGTCTCAGCAGGGGCATGGTGACACACGCCTGTAGTCCCAGCTACTCAGCAGGCTGAGGCAGGAGAATTGCTTGAACCTAGGAGGTGGAGACTGCAGCAAGCCAAGATCACACCACTGCACTACAGCCTGGGTGACAGTGTGAGACTGTGTCTCAAAAAAAAAAAAAAAAAAAAAAGAGTCTCAGTAGTCACAGGATTGACTTTTAAGTGAGTATAGCTTAGTATATTATGTAATTTTTCCCCTTCACTTAAGAAATTGAGCCATGTGCATACTATAAATTATGGAATACATACATTGTTTATTAATTAAATTCTAACTATAAAGTCACAAAGCAGTACAAATATGGATAAATCATTAAACTATTTTCAAAGGAAATGTTTCAATGTTTTCATGTTTGAATAGCTAAGTTAATTGATTGACCATGTTTAAATTTTATTTCTATCCATTTATTATCAATTGGGTAAGGCTTATAATTAATTCTAGAGATACCAAAACATTTGCATGTCTTTAAAAAACAATTGCTCAAAATATGTTTTACTTCAAAGTGTCAACTTGCCATATTAAATTATTTCAACAACATAATATAGCCAAGACAAACACATTTAAAAGCAGGGCAATTTAAGTACAGAGCTGGTAATATTTTAGGTTATCATTACAAGTTCTCCTAGGCAGTTTATTGGCAAATATGCTCTCAAAGACAAAGCTTTTGAATAGTAAAGAAAACAACTTGGTTTAAAAACCACATTCAGCCTAGACAGTCTTCAGAATCCTAACTTCTTTGGAGTGCAAATAGCTAGACTTCAAAGAGAATGAGAAAGCTGAACACACATACTCCAGAGACGTCCTCAGAGCCCACAGTCAACAGGAGACGTGCTGGGAAAGTGAGGTCTCTTACCTGCCTCCATCACTTCTTCAGAAAAGATGATGAATACTTTCCAGACAATGCCCTGAGCAGAATCACTCCCAAAACACTGGGGGAAACCTGCTTCTCCATGGTACAACAATCCCTCTAGTGGCTGGGTCAGAAGGGTAGGCATTTCCATGAGCCTGCTGGAGAAGACCATGTAGCAGCCTCTGTAATTTTAAGTTATTGGTCTTTCATTGGAGGGGTACAGAAACTCAGGAAACTAACCCATCCTCTACTCAGTAGAGCCAATGTTTTTCTAAAAGTGACTTCAAGGATACCTCCTACCAAGTCTAACACACTTCTTCATATAGACAAAATGGTAAAGGGAACCTAAATTTTGCTTACTACAAAAATTCCATCATAAACATCACTGAATTTATGTACAATAAATGTCAATGCACATACAATGATGCCAAACTTAAATGATATCTGTAAATTCAGTATATCTGGCCTGCTATATATATTTTAAAGAACATCATCCTAGATGAACTGAGATCTAGGTTACCAAATAAAACAAGTTAAAAATTTTTTTCTGATTCCAAATACATGTAACTTTGAGATCGGAACAAAGAAAAAAATGACTCACTATATATAGCCAATGAGGAAAATGAAAACAGTGTATAGCAGTCATCTGGATGGATTACTGACTTGTTTTTGGCTTTCATTTTCTTTACTGCATATGTGTTGAGTCCTTTTGTATTTTGTTCAGATCTCATAGTTACTCCTAAGGAGGTTTATTTTGACCATGCTATTTTAAAAAGTACCTCCCTGCCCCCTATTCTTTTATTCTGCTTTTTCTTTATAGCATGTGTGATATCATATTAATAACATAATATGTTTTTATTTATTTATTGCCATATCCTTCAGTAGAATGCAAGGCTCTTCAAAAATAAGAACTTTATTTAATTCACTGCTATATCCTCAGCACGTAAGACAAGGCTTTGCAGAAAGTAAGACCTCAATAATTACGTGTGAATAAAAAAGTAAACAGAGGCTTCTAGGGTAAGTAGAGTCTACTGACATGAAGTACTTGTTTCCAATTTTTGACCCTTCCATTATATCAGTAAGATAATGCATTAGTCCATTCTCATGCTGCTATAAGGACATACCTGAAATTGGGTAATTTATAATGGAAAGAAATTTAATTGATTCACAGTTACGTAGGGCTGAGGAAGCCTCTGGGAACTTACAATCATGGTGGAAAGAGAAGCAAACACGTCCTTCTTCACATGTCAGTAGGAAGAAGTGCCAAGCAAATGGGGAAGGGCCCCTTATAAAACCATCAGATTTCATGAGAACTCACTCACTATTATAAGAACAGCATGGGGGGGTAACTGCCCCCATGATTTGATTACCTCCCACTCAACTGTTCCCACAACACATGGGGACTATGAGAACGACAATTCAAGATGAGATTTGGGTATGGACACCGCCAAACCATATCAGATAATATATTCTACCAAGTGATAAAGTAGTGTATTTCCACTTTGTACTGGGGAGAATAAACAATGCAAGAGAAATAGTGTTAAAGATTTTGATATGCCAAAACAAGGAAATTCACAAAAAATTTAAAATTATTTTTTAAAAATGCACAGCCAAATTCTTACTGTAGCCATTAATAATTAGAATAGCATCCTCCAAACCTCTTGGTAGGCCTTTGTATACTCCTAGGACACATGGAGCATATACCTAGAGAGCTGTATGTCATCATTCTCTAGTAGTCTAGGATCCTGGAGGAGAAAAAACGTTGTAATAATTACAAAATAGAGTAAAATATACTAAGAAACAATTCTACAAAAGAGACTATTATACTAAGAAACAATTCTACAAAAGAGACTATTATGTCCTTTGGGGAAAGCCTCTTCCCTCTGTATTTCCTGTGGCAGCCTTCCAAGTCAGAATGTCTTTATATTTTTATTCCAGGATACATATGCAGAATGTGCAGGTCAGCTGCGTAGGTATACATGTGCCATGGTAATTTGCTGCACCTATCAACCCATCACCTAGGTTTTAAGCCCCACCTGCATCAGGTATTGGTCTTAATGTTCTCCCTCCCCTTGCCCTCCACCCTCGATAGGCCCAGTGTGTGTGTTATCCCCTCCCTATGTCCATGTGTTCTCATTGTTCAGCTCCCACTTGTGAGTGAGCACATGCGGTGTTTGGTTTCCTGTTCCTGTGTTACTTTGCTGAGGATGATGGCTTCCACTTTCATCCATTTCCCTGAAAAAAATGGAATATGTCTTCAGCTTCATTAAAAAGCAAATACTTTAGCACAGCAGTTTCTAAGAGCTGGTAAAATTTATATTTGAACTGAGAGATCAAATTAAAGAAAAATAGTGTCTCATTCCATTCTGTTTCTTTGACTAACAGTTTGACAATTTCATTTCTGATGATCAAGTACCACTTATGTAAGAAGTAGTGTAACAACACAATTTCAATTTTTCAGAAAAGGGATTAATGTTGGACCTGTGGTTAAATATTATTCTACTCTCTTCTGAAACCCACTAAAATAACAATAAAGAAATGGATAAAAATGATAAAGCCCACAAGGGCTAAAAAAATTGTAACTGGGAAATCAGTGGATAAATGGCAACTGATATGGCAGAGAGAAGTAAGTCCAGACTTAAGTCAGCAGAGAAAACTCAGGAGCCCCAGAAAATCCTCAGGAATTAGAGACATTTGGAAATCTTAGGGATTCAGGTGAGGCAGAATACAGACTGATAGACAGAATGTCAGTAGAAACCTATAAATGTCTGTATAGAAAGTACTGCACTCCAGATCCTACACAGACACATAGATGCACACATGCATGCGCGCGCGCACACACACACACACACACACACACACACACACACACACACACCCACCTCATTCAGCTGGAAAGCTACGCCTCCTCCAATGAGAATAAAAGTGTCCTTCACTTTAATATAAATGGAGACTTCTACTTCTGAGTATGATGGAGTAGCTTACAGCAGAGCTAAGAACAACTAGAAAGCTTATTTTTTAAGAACAATTTTAAAGCTGTTTGAAGATACATAAGAACTTGTTGAAATAATGGATTGAGAGAAGGAGGGAAACAGCAGAGAATGAACGGACATTTTATAGTGGCATTCCCCTAGTGCATTGCCAATTCTGAGAGCAGGGCAAGAAGTCAGCAATGCAGACTTCTCAAGCAGAGGAGAAACCAGCAAAGATTTTGGCAGTCTTCTTACGCTGGGAAGATAAAGATTGCAACAAGGTAACAAACAAATAGAAAGTCCAAAATCACAGTGAAAAAGAGGGAAATGAAAAAAGAAGGCTAACACTCATCTGGTATTACCCTTAAGACATGAGTTCTGAAGTATCATGGGGCAGGAAGTTAAAAGCTAGGAAGAAATCTTTCAAGGAGCAGAGGGTAGATTTTTATGCTCTTAAAGTACTGAGAAGGCAAGGATTAAAGTTCAGGATTTGCCAGTGAAAAAAGTCTCAGTGAATAAAACAAGTTGGAAGATCTGCAGAGCTACACCCCAAGAGTGGATTTAAAACAGAGGTAGAAAAAGACATCCATGTTCATGGATTGGAATAATTAATATTGTTAAAATGTCCATGCTACCCAATGCAATCTACTGATTCAATGTAATCCCTATAAAAATCCCAATGACATTTTTACACAAACTTTACAATTTTAAAATTAATATGGAGGCACAAAATATGCCAAATAGCAAAAGCAATCTTGAACAACAAAAACAAAGCTGCAAGCATCAACTACCCTATTTCAGAATCTACTACAAAGCTATAGTAATCAATACAGTATAGTACTGGCATAAAAACAGACATATGGACCAATGGAACAGAATAGAGAACCTAGAAATAAGTTCACACATTTACAGTCAATAACTGTAATAATTTGGGAATCTTCTGTAATAACCTGGGATCATCAAGAGATTCCCCAAGAACACAAATGGAAAAGGTACAGTCTCTTTAATAAATGATGCTAGAAAAACTAGGTAGCCACATTCAGAAGGATGAAATTAAACCCTTATCTCACATCAGACACAAAATCAACTCAAAATGGATTAAAAACTTAAATGTAAGACCTGAAATATAAACTATTAGAAAACATAGAGGGAAAGCTTTATGACATTGGTCTTGGCAAGAATTTTTTGGATATGACCCCAAAAGCATAGGCAACAAAAGCAAAAATAAACAAATGGGATTGCATCAAACTAAAAAGTTTATTGCAGCAAAGAAAACAATCAAAAAAGTGAAGAGGCAACCTACAAAATGAAAGAATATGTTTGCAAACCATACACCTGATAAAAGGTTGATATCCAAAATATATAAGGAGCTCAAGTAACTCATTAGCAAGGTAAAAAATAACTCAATTAAAAAATGGGCAAAGGGGCTGGGTTCAGTGGCTCATGCCTGTAATACCAACACTTCGGAGGTCAAGGCAGGCAGATCACTTGAGCTCTGGAGTTCAAGACCAACTGGGGAAACATGGCAAGACCCCCTCTCTACTAAAAATACAAAAAAAAGAAAAATTCCTAGGTGTTATGGCATACACCTGTGGTCCCAGCTACTCAGGAAGCTAAGGTAAGAGGATCGCTTGAGCTCAGGAGGAGAAGGTTTCAGTGAGCTGAGATTGTGTCACTGCATTCCAGCCTGGATGACAGAGTGAGACCCTGTCTCAAACTTAATTTTTTTTTAAAGAAATGGGCAAAGGACCTGAAGACAAATGGCTAAAAGATATATGAAAACATGCTCAACATCACCAATCACAAGGGAATGCAAATTAAAACCATAATAAGATGTCACCTCACACCTGTTAGAGTGGCTATTATAAAAAAGACAGGAGATAGTATTTATGAGGATTTGGAGAAAGGGGAACCCCTATATACTGCTAGTGGGAATAAAAATTAGTATAGCAATTATGGAAAATTCGATGGAAGTCTCTTAGAAATTGAAAGTAGAACTACCCTATCATATGATCCAGCAATTCCACTTCTGGGTCTATATCCAAAGGATATAAAATTAGTATATCAAAAAGGTGTCTGCATTCCCATGTTTACTGCAACATTATTCACAGTAGCCACGACAGAAAATCAACCTTAGTGTTCACATTTACATACATAACAAACCTGCACATCCTGCACATATACCCCTGAACTTAAAAGTTTAAAAAAAAAAAAAAAAAAAAAAAAGCTTGCTAGTAGGGAACAAATAAATAAATAAAAATTTTAAAATCTTAGTGTTAATCAATGAATGATTAAAGAAAATGTGGCATAGTGTGGTATAGATATACAATCGAATACTATTCAGCCTGTAAAAAAAAAACGGAAAGCCTATCATTTGTGACAACATGGATGAACCTGGAGGACATTCCACTAAGCAAGTTAAGTCAAACACAAAACAACGAATGCTACGTGATCTTACTTATATGTGGAATCCTTAAAAAGTCAAATGCATAGAAATTGAGAGAATGGTTTTATCAAGGACCTGGGGTTATGGAGAAGGAAGGACTGGAGACATGTTGTTCAAGGGATACAAAATTCCACTTAAACAAAGGGAATAGTTTCAAGAGAGCTATTGTAAACATGGTGAGTGACTATAGCTAATAACAACACAAAGCATACTAGAAAATTGCTAAGAGAGTTGATTTTAAATGCATTCACCAAAATAAAATGGTAAGTATGTGAGAAAATTTAGCCTTTCCACAATGTATTCCTATATCAAAACATCATGTTGTACAATTTTTGTTTTATTTTGTTGTTTATTTTGTTCATAACAAGTAAAAAATATAATATTTACTCATCAGTTAACAAAAAATAAAAAATGTTTTAAAATAAATCAGGTAGAAAGAACTTACCAAAACTGTAATCTAGCTTTGACATATCTCAGCCCCTGATTGGATTAAGGTGAGCAGTTCAACTCTATCTGCCTGGAAGAGAAAAGGTAAAACCTCTTTGGAGGAATAAACCATTATTTAAACCTCTACAATTTTTTCTTACCTAATGTCTCATATTCAATCATTAATTACTAGAGTGACAAAAGACAAGATCATATAAACAAAACTCAAGACAAAAAACAGGAAATAGAAAGAGGTCCATAATGGCTATACATTGGAGGTAGCGTAGAGTGACATTAAAATAATC